CTGTCTGTCTGTCGTGCTGTCTGTCTGTCGTGCTGTCTGTCTGTCTGTCTGACCCTAGGATTGTAAAACACCTGGAACCAATAGCACTGGTGGCACGAATACCATACAAGATCATGTAAATGTCCATTTCTTGGTTGTTTACGGTGGAGGAGGATTTCATGGTGGGACCAACAACACTCCACAAGTCGGGAGGCTCTTGCAATATATGTAAAGAAACGTGTTGAGGCAAACGTCTTACTCGTATTCCGCAAAAAGGAAAAAAAACCCAAAGAAAGCTGCATTGCATGGCCCTCCCCTCTAGTATCCACCTGCCACGTTCTCCATCACTCTGCCTCGAGAGGGTTGCCACGGACTCTAAAAGCCACCGTCCGCTCCCGTTCCGGCTCAGTGAAGAGCCCTATGGTCCTTATCCTGCTCAATGTAATATTGGTACTTGTCCTGACTTGCCTTGCGGAGACGGGGTCCGAACTTGATCATCGGCAGAGTCGTGAGAGCCTGCAGGGAGAACAGGACGGCGGCCAAGATGTACGCGTTGCGGTATCCCATGTCGCTGAGCCAGGGGCTCGTGCCGTAGCTGAAGGCAAAGTTGGTCGTGTTGCGGATCAGCATGACGGTGACGATGGCCTCGGAGCCAATCTCCTTGTACGAGTCGATGCAGTACGTGATGGCGAGACTGGCGCCGACCGAGATGCTGAAGCCGAGGAGGAAGGTGGCAAAGACCAGTCCGAACCAGTGCACCTCGTACGCGGCGCCCAGGCCCCAGAGCAGACAGCAGCCGGGACTGGTGACGACGCAGATGAGCAGTAGCCACAACCGGTCTTCAGCCAGCCAGATGCCGGATCGACGACGCACGATGCGCAGCACGGCCCAAGACTCGAAGGGTCCGCAGTACAACATGGCGACGAGACCAGCCACGAGCGGTGCCAGGTATGTGATCCCGATAGAACCCCTGAGATTATGGTCCCCGTCAGCTTTTGCTCGATCCCTTTTGTTGCAGGCACGATTTTCCATGGAGCGGAATGAACAGAGATGGCTGGGGGAAAGCATGACTTACGCTGAAAAGTTATATGGTTCTCCGCTGAACACCAGCGAAACAGTGGCCTGGAAGAAGGTATATAGACATAAAAAGGAGCCATACGTGAAGCCGGACCAGCAGACGATGGGGAAACGGAACAGCTTCAGGGGGCGAAGGACCATCAACTGCCATGAGACCTTTTCGGGCTTCCGGAACAGCTTGAGTCGACTCCAGAAGGGCTTGGGCGCTCGAGATTCGCCCGAGGAAGTACTTGTCGCTGTGGTCGAGATCTGGACGCCCACCTCTTTGCTCGCGGCCTCGGGATCCTCAGCCAGAC